GACCGTCAAAAAATCCATCATTATAGGCCTTCGTCCTTATTGCTTCTTTAGCGAACATGCTCGTCGTATCACGATCGGCAATGGCCTGGTTTAGCAGCCGTTGGGTCACCCTTTCCTCTACAATCAGGTTACCTTGACCTGCCAAATGATTACCGGTAACTTTTGCCTGTTTTAGTTCTCGCTTGACTTTCTCTACGCGCGCCTCTAAGTTCCGAATGCGCTCATCTTTTTGCTCAATCTCTCGCCGCGCGGCACGGAGACGCATGCCGATTTCATATTAAGTATATAGCCCTTTCACCGCTCTATGGACACCCTCCCAAAAAACTTCGAAATCAGATCTCCCAATCATCGACTGCTGGACTTCCGGCGAAAAAATCTGTCAAGCGAATTCAACTGCCACGCTTGGATCGCAGATGATCGAATCTGCCTCTATTATCGGTTTGTTTCCCACGAAGACTGAAAAGCTCAACGAGCGTGGTGCCCCACTGGTCTCACTTCGCAAGCAAGGGAAGTTCCCCCGCTGTTGCCTTTCCTTCCTACCTGCTTCAACGACGCGGAGAATGGCACCTTTCACGTTTCCCCGACGTCCTACTTCCCGTTCGCAATGGCCCGCCACCTCGATTCATCGTTGAATGCAGCTCAGCCAGTGTCTTACCCTCTCCTCTGCTATTAAAGAATAGTCTTCTAGACATCTAGTTCAAACCCACTATTCTTCTCCTTCCTGTGATCTGCCAAATTTGGACACCAATATGGACCCTAAACGAACGCAACCCCCACTCTTCTTATTAATCACGGGTGCAGCGTTCCATTCAATGCTCTGCACCCTGAACTGTCGTTGTTCGGCGGTCCTGTTTATTAATTTGCTGGAGCAAGGACAGATTCATTAATCTATTCGACCTAAATATCAGGGCAATGCGCCGAAATGTTACTGTGCCCCAGCCAATCCCTGAACTGCCGCTGTTCGGCGGTCTTGTTCATCAATTTTCTAGGGCAAGGAGAGATTCATTAATCTATTCAGCCTAAATATCAGGGCTATGCGCCGAAATGTTACTATGCCCCAGCCAATCCCTGAACTGCCGTTGTTTGGTGGTCCTGTTCATCAATTTGTTGGGGCAAGGGCAGATTCATTAATCTATTCGACCTAAATATCAAGGCTATGTGCCGAAATGTTACTGTGCCCCAACCAATCCCTGAATTGCCGTTGTTCGGCGGTCCTGTTCATCAATTTGCTGGGGCAAGGACAGATTCATTAATCTATTCGGCTAAGTCGCAGTGCTATTCAGTTATTTTAGTGCTAGATTAATTCAGTAGTTTGTTCCATTCATTTCATTTCATGTTTTTACATCTTACTTAGCCGTTAACAAGCACATGCATCAGGCAGAAAGGCAAAGGCAATTTTCATTCATAAACTAAACACAAACAGAAGTCATTTTACAAATGAAAACTACCCTACGTTAGCTTCTCACAAAAATAAATAGTCAAAAATCTAACAAATCTAACAAAACCTACATACACACGATAACAAAACAAAATGAAAAATACTTTGACCCTAGGTCAGTCTTCAGGGTCAGACTCCAGCGGCTCAACGTCTACCTGCTCGTACAGAATCGGCTGCTCCGATACCACGTTAGCGGCAGCTAAGGCTTTGAACCAGCCGTGTTTAAGCCCTTCATTCTCAAACTTAGGCACTTCCTCTACATAGTTCTCTAAGGCCGTATCCTTGCCAGCTTGGAATGACTTGGAAATCTCTGATTCGGCATTTGCCATCGCCCTCTTCGACTCCTCCAAATCGGCCTCCAGCTTGGCAATCGTCTCGTTGGCCAATTTGAGCACTTCTTCGCTTGCGTTCGCCCTTTCCTCGGCGGCCAATCTCAGTTGGTCAGCAGTCTTGGCCTTATCTGCTTCAGCATCGGCCCTCGCCCTTTCTTCCGCCGCTTTCATGGCCTCAGACTCGGCTCTGAGAGAGGCCTCTGCTGCCTTGTCCTTTTCGTTTTCCACCTCGGCTATGAGAAAGCCGATTTGTTCGATAGCGTCATGTTGGCGACGACCAATCTCAGCTATCCTTCCCACCGCCTACAAAACAAGGAATCAGTAAGTAAGCTGATATAAAAATTTTCTTTTGTTTAGCCTTGCAAAATTATAAACAAGGATCATGTACCAATATCGCCGATTGAGCGGCCAATGTGATGGACAACAGATCGGGCTCTGCCCTAAAGGTTGCTCTGTCAACCGGCAGAGAAATGGAGGAGGCCAAGCTCAAGGCCATAGCGGCGTCTTTTACAGCCGATGCATCAGAAGCAACCGGCAATTTCTTTATCCTTGGTTGTATTATAAACGACACAACTAGGTCCGACTCTTCCATGCGTGGCCGTTTATCCACTAGGTTTTCCCAAAAATCGGCTTCGTGTTCGGCCGGACATTTTTCTCCCCTGTGCTCCGTCACTTGGCCCTCCTGTTGATCGACAACAGGCTTCGTTTCGGCCACATCAGTCCGAACCGTCTCCTCAACAGGAGCAGGTAGAGGAGATTCTGCCCTAGCGTCGAGTGGAGGTTCAGTTCGCTCGGTTTCGGCTCTCCTACGGGCAGCCATCCTCTCGGAATTTTTTCGCCTGGCAATTTGAGTAAGCGACTCACCAGCCATGTTGTCAAGATATGAGCCGGGTAAGTCGGTGAAAATATCTTCAAAAGACACGTCCGTTCGGCCAGAAGTGGATGAAAGATTGAGGCCGGCTTCTTCAAAAGCCAAATTTAGTGCCGCGTCAACCTTCTCCTCTAGTCCGTCAGATCTATCCAAGGAGGGTTGATTCGGCTGCTCAGCGACTCCTCCGGTTGCTTGTTCGTCCACTAGCTCTAAATCTGAAGCTTCAAGACCAATTTGCCTAAGGTTCTTGAAGCTTAGAAAAATAAGCGCCATAAGGTGCTGTTCACCCCATGGAATCGGAATGTTATCTGCGGCCGAAAAAAGTAGCGTATGTCGGCTCATATCTCAAAAGAATGTGGGCCGCCCTCCCTTGCTTCTGGAGGTTCAGACGGCTAAAGAACTGGAGTGCGGTTCTGATCCGTGCAAGTATAGCGTCGTCGGCCGAGACGAGAACTTTTTTCAAATCGTTTCCTACACAAATAAAATGGTAAATACATAGAATTTGAACCAGGTAAATACTTAATAAAAATTCATGGGGGGTTAAACGGCCACCTGGTTCGCCTCTTCGCCTAGGCATTGGATCCAAGTGATCTTCGCCCTCGCCGAATTCCCAGTTGCCGAGAACAACAACCGTGACATCATCAATAAGCTTGCCAGAGCTGGCAAGCATAGTCACCAAATGATGGTCGATGTCCTTGGTCCTAAGGAAGTAGCGCCCCTACCGGCTAAAGGATTTGGCCAAAGCATAACAATGCCGAATAGCAGGGATTCCAAGGTTAAGCCTAAGGCGTCGGTTTAGTTCTACAATTTCCATTATTATTCGGTAAAAATTTACGTTCGGCTAAGAAGGGATTAAACCCCAATGGCAAAGAATAGCCCTCAAAAATGGATGAAGGGGAAAACGGACTCCGCCCTCAACGATTGACAGGAGAGGAAAGACGATTGTACTCTCATCAGTCCTCTCCATATCAACTACGCTCTCTGCCAAGAGTGACAGATGGACGTCGTCAGGAATGGAAAAATGGCGACGAAAACCAGAGACTCGATCCCCAGAAATAAGGGCTTTCAAATGTTTCGCCATCGTAGCCAGTAAAGTGGACGCTCTAAACAGAAAATAAACAAGGAAATGGGAGTCAAAATGGAAGAGAGAAAAACTTACAAGAAATGAGGACAATGAACGGAAAGAAGTTGCAAAGGACGTGAAGCGAGGGAGGTGAACTGACAGGCAACGAGAAACCTTGTGTATTCAAAAAAGCATACAAACGAAGAGACAACACGGTTTCAAATCATATTAAATGAATGAAACGTACGAAGGGGCAGGAGATTATAATAATTCCTAAAAACAGTAGGCGTTCTGACGCTTGCGTTGGAATAAGGGAAATCACCGTATTTTTTGACCCTCTAAGTCCAAAACCAAACATGCAGAATAACTGACATTAATAAGATGTTTGGGGGGCAATTGTGGGAGCCGAATAATATTATTACATAGGGAAGCCGATTTAGGTTAAAGAAAGAAATCAAGTTATGTACTATACGGCTTTATCCTGGAGAAACACAAAGGCTGAATAACCAGATCGGCCGTAGAATCAGCTGTAAACTGGGCCGAGTACGAATAGGTAGGACAGAATAGCCGAATAAGCAGTTATTCGTTGGTCGAAAGGTGGGCCTAACCATCAATATCAAGGACGACTATAAATAAGAGGAGCATCAGCTAAGAAAAGGTATGTGAGAACAAATAAGATTAACTTGAGATACAAGCAACCAAGAGAGTATATACTGACTTATCCGTCGGAGTGCTAATTCCAGCACCCCCGACCGGAGTGTTCATTTCTTTTCAGGTGACTAGCTAAGAATCAAGAGCGTCCTACAGAATCCATAGAGTATTTCCAAACCACATCTCCACAAGATCGTACAAGTATTAACTAAGAAGTAACAAGTAACAAGAAAACACTACTTTCAAAACATTACAAATTTTCCTTCTTAATATTTGATTGAAATTTGATGGGTATAACATGACTAATGGTTGTAAACCTATAATTAGTTTTTTTAATAACAGGGCATCTTATTATCAGTTTTGGTTGTCTGGGAAACTACTTTAAATTTTAACTTTTCATATCTTGTATTATAAAGCAACTTGATGTCCAAGGTTGAGAAACAATTTTTTGCCTTCTCTCATGGAAGCACTTAGACTGTCCCCACTTTAGGACCACATAGATGCAGAAGAAAGCGAAAAGGGACCCATTCACTCATAAAGAGTTATTCCAATACCATTACACAAACCTCCACCATTCATGAGAGCCAAAAAGAAGAAGAAAAATGAACATGCAAAAATTGAAGGAAAACCATTAGAGAAACTTACCTCACAACAAGAAAGTCTAGTAACTCTAAATGGTTCTCTAGATATTGCACACAGCAATAAGTGGAGTCGCCCTTTTGTTTCAACAATATGGACCAACAGTGAACCAGATCTTTTCTTGCCTGTATCATTACATTATCATTGTTCAAGTAGAAGCCAAACACATGAAACAGTGCTATGGATCATAATAACTTACTTCCCATCCCAATATAGGTAATTTGTGAATAAAAAGAGCAAGAACATCTTCTTCACAGATTTCAAGCGTCAACTGCGAAACCTGATCCATGCTGGGTTCAGCCTCCCCATTGAACCAGATCTTTTCTTGCCTGTATCAAAATTACATTATCATTGTTCAAGTAGAAGCCAAACACATGAAACAGTGCTATGGATCATAATAACTTACTTCCCATCCCAATATAGGTAATTTGTGAATAAAAAGAGCAAGAACATCTTCTTCACAGATTTCAAGCGTCAACTGTGAAACCTGATCCATGCTGGGTTCAACCTCCCCATCTCCACAAAGCATAACTCTCATTGTTGCAAAGTTCTTCTCAACTTCTTCCAAAGCCTGCAAACATATCGTGAGAAAATAGTTTAACATAGATGCACAACGATTATAGTTAGTATAACACATACGTTCCAAAATCTTAATATAACCCAGCCTACTAACCTTGAGGTTGTGGGTTCAAATCTGAGAGTAGTCACTTTGTATAAATTATGTTAAAAGTGAGGTCTATATCAAATCTACCCTTCCAGACCCCATCTAATGGGAGACCCGGGGGGGGGGGGGCGCTAAAGTGGTTGTACTTTTTTGTGGGAAATTGCTGGCCTAAAATTTTAACAATTTGTTTTGATACTTTAATTTGGATCAGTAGGCATTTTAACAATTTGTTTGGATACTTTATAGAGCTATGCAAACTAGTACTAATTTATCATAGCACCTTTTGTATTTATTATCAAGTCCAATGCATTCTATCATAAACCCTTTCATGCTGGCATGCAGGGTAATGCCAAAAAATAAATAAAACATCACAGCAGATTCACACTATGCCAAATATCGGTTCACATGGCAGCAAAACTTCACCAATATTGCAAATTCGCAATCTGACACAGTTCGCCACCCCTATTAGGTAAAATGGGCTACTGAGATCAGTACCCGACATTAGCTTTTATACATTGAAACTGGTGGGCGAGATAGACTAGTGCCTCGTTTGGTTGAGGCTATTTTAACCTGGGAGAAGTCAGTATATTTTTGTCTTATTAGGACTTTATTCAAATTTGATCAAGTTTGCTTTTTTTTTTTTAGGTGTTTATTATGTTATGAAACAAAATAGGAAGTATCTAGTTTGCAGATCGCAAAAGAAAATACAATACAAACTAACAAATGTGTCGTGCAACAATGAAACCATCAAAACTGAAACAGGATTGATATGGTAGATGCTACATCAATAAGTAACCAAAATTTGTTAATTGTATAGCATTATTCTATTGAAAAATTGGAAAACTAATTGCAAATTCGCGAGTGCAAATAAGACATGTACCCAGTACAAGTGAGAGATCTGTGCCACGGCTGCACAATTCTCAATTACACTCCGTTGATTTGCAATTAGTTTCCGAATTTCTCATTCATATCATATTCCCCAAGCATTCATTGTTAGGTATTATGTTAACCGAACCCAATTAACATTTTGAATTAATGACACAAATTATAATAAGCGCAGCTGAAAATGTAAATTAGGATTTAAAATTCAGAATTCACATAAAGCAATCATTTTTATCACCATTGGATATACAGCGAGAGAGAGAGAGAACCTTCTTGAGGGCTTGAACCTCGGCGACGGTTTTGGCGTCGAGAGCAGTGAGGCAGTCCTTGATAGCTTTAACGAGCTCTTGAGGGGTTTTAGGCCTCGAAGGCTTGAAGAACGAGAATGACATGATTGATTGTTCAATCTCTCTGTCTCTGCTGTGGATGAAGTGTGGGGGATCAGGGCTTTCACTGCCAGGAAAATACTCTCTCAGAAAAGAGAAGGAAACTTGTAAACCAAACAAGTTTTCCAAACAAATCTCTCTCTCACACACATCAAATCAATCACTTTTTCCAAAACTTTCTCTCAAAATAATTTTTCAAAACATCTTTTAAAAAAAACTAAACCAAACAACTTTTTGTACTTTTTATCTCTAAAACACATCTCTCAAACACAAACCAAACATACCCATAAATTTTTTATTATTGCAATTTAAATTCTTAATTTTAAAAATTATTTCAATTATAATCATTTATTAGTTAATAGGGGCAATTTATGTAATGTTTCTTTTTTTTGTCAATATTACTAAACAACAACAGTGGTTATGAATTGTAAAATAAAGAATATAGATGACAGTGAGTTGAGAAAGGAAAAAAAATAACGGTGAATGAAAAAATAAATAGCTAGACAATACTAAAGTAGTAAAGATAAGGATAGTGATAATAACTTACATGGTATTTGTTATTAATAATTTGTAAAAAGTGGATCAAATTGAAAAGAAGAAAAAACAAAAATGGAGAATAAAAGCAAAAAATGAGAATACACTAATTCTTTCTGGAACTTGGTGTAATTTGGCCATCTTTCTTCAGTTTTATATTATATTATATATTTTTTAATTAAATATGAAATTTATTTTTGTTTTCACAAACACAAAAGTGATTTTTCAATAATTTAGAAGGAAAAAAACCAAAAAAAAAAAGAGAAAGTGTTTTCACTCCTACTTAAACAAATTTCTACTATCTCCTCCTTCTTCAACCATTGCCACCGCCCAATAAACACCACTACTAACCAACTCTAATGGTCTTCTAATCGACCATCATCAAATTTTAACGAGTTGTAGTCACCCTTAATTTTTTGATTACTTTGCAATCATTTGACTGCTAACTTTAACTATCACTTCCGACAATTGTACAAGTTCACACTAGGAGTGAGCAGCGAATATATCGATCCATCAAAACCGACCGAATCGAACCGATCCATCGCATTTTGAACGAATGCGTGATGACGAGCGGACGGTTGCGTATTGATTTTCTCCAATCCGCCAATCTGGCAGACAGATAGTGAATTTGAGATGCCTTTGGCCACAACCAAGCCGCCAAACCGCAAGCACCTTTAGTAATTTATAAAACTTTGTGTTTTTAGTTTGTTTAAATATTCTGTTTATATTTTCAATTTTAAAAAAGTTTAAATATTCTGTTGAAAAAAAGTTTTCAACTTGAATATTTTTTTTGAATTGAAAAAAATAAACGTATTATTTATCTATATTTTTTAGTTTTTAAATCTATCTCTAAAAATAATAAATAGAAAATATGATATATGCTGGTTGGTTTTTGTTTTCAAAAAAAGATATAGATGTAACAATACAGAGACATACAATCTCTACTACTGCTCTGTTTTATGATTTTAGTGGTTTGAATTGTTTTTATATTTTAACAATCACATATTGTAATACTTTATGTGGATGAGGCATGCTGTGATTTTGATATTCTAAAGTTTCAAACTTTTTTTATTTTGGATGAGGCATACAGTGATTGTAATATTTTTTTAAATCATTGATTGTAATACTTTTTTTTTTTTTTGAGGAAATGCACAAGTTGAATTATGTTGAAAATTTATAAAATTTTAAACCGCCAAACCAATTCGCATCCATCCCCCAATCCGCTCAATCCACATTCGCCGAATTGGTGGACGGATGCGGATTGATTTTCTCCAATCCGCCAATCTGACTGACGGATTGAAAATTCCGTTGCCGCAATCGACTCGTGCCCACCCTTAGTCCACACCCTCTTTCACCCCACACTATCTTGTTCAACTCACCAAATATAAGCATTTTTATTTCTAAAACATTTGCATACGTCATAAAACAAAAATAAAAAATGTATACACCAACTAAGTTTTAAAAATAATTTTAAAAAAAAAAACACAAAATAAATTCTAATTTTTGTATTTTACTAATTTAAATATTAATTTTTTGATTTATTTTTAATATAATTCATTAGTATATTTTTGTTAAGTAAAATAAATTTCTAAAAAATATTTTAGTCATTAAAGTTAATCTACATGTACATCAAATATCTAAAATATAAATTGTCATTAAGTTTAGTGACTAATATATATATATATTTTTTATTTCAATTTTAGTGAACTAAAATAAGCAAACAATTTAGATTAAAAATTTTAAAAAAATTATAATTTTAAATTGACAAAATTTAAAAATTAAAATTTATTTTATTATAAGAATTAAATTTTAAGTTTTGTTTTTTAAAAGTGTATAGAGGATGTGTACCATACACACCTTATATGTGTACCATACACACCTTATAACTAAAAAAAAAAACATAATTTTATATTATATGGGTCATAATTTTTTTAAAAAAAAAAATCACAACAAAATATCACATGAAATATAACCAAATATGTCATGAGTCATAACTAAAATATTATTATGACTAAAAAAGAATATTAAGATACCATTAAAATTCTCATAAATTATAATTTTAGAAGAAAATAACATAATTAGTAGAATTTTATTTTTTTCCTTCTTAATCTTAGACCATCTTTAATTCTTGATAAGATATTTCATCAAATAATGGTATTTTAGCCATTTCATCAATTTGACATCAAATAAAGAAAGAGATATTACTTTTATCAAATAAATAAAATATTTATCATTTTATCAAATTTATAGATGACGGTAGACATTCTCCTAGAAATGTTCTTATTTTTACAAGAGATTTATTAAAAATCATTTTTCAAATATTTATATTTCAATTAATCCATAAGATATTTTTATATTTTAATAAGTCTTATTATTTGAATATTTTATATACCAAATCATAATTCTCATATTTAAAGTACTTTATGGATATTTCTATCATTACAAATATTTTTTGAACAGTTACAATTTAGTGATAAACATTCATATTTTACAGTGTGAATATTCACGTTGACGTGTGAATGTTCGCATTGATAGTGTGAATATTCATACAATATGAATATTTACATTGACGTGTTAATATTCATCTTGATGGTGTGAACATTTAAATTAACGATGTAAACATCCACGTTACGAAATATTCACACGATATATGTAAATATTATTAAGAATATTATGATAAATATGTCACTCATAAAATTGTTGGACAATCTTCACTGTATTTAATTAAATTAAATTCTGTTGTGTACTAAACTACAACCAGAATATAAAGAAATAAATAAATGAGAGAATTTGTTTGATTACAAAAATCAAACTCAAAATAATAAATAATTAAATAAAACCACAGATTTTATTTTGTTACAAAAACAAAAATAAAATCTGATTAAATAAATAAATAAAAACAGAATAAAATTAAACAAAATAACTTTTCTGATCAAGTCCAGTGTTTAACACTGTGTCCTTAAGACAGATTCGTCCTCTCCACGGTGCTTTCGGAATTTGGACGTCTATCTCCCAAGATGAAATGATTTACCACAAACAATAGCAGCATTACAAATTGTTTGCCTCACGAACACACTAAGTGTTTACACTTTTTCTTTCAGAAATAAAATGCAACAAAATGAAGAATAGAATAAGCAGAGGTGAAATACGAAATTTCTGAATGAATAACATCAAATGAGGGTGGTCCTATTTATAGATGTAAATGTGGCTCTTGGTTTTAAATTGAACAGGTATGATACCTGTTGGTTTTGAATTCAAACAGATTTGAATCTGTTAATAATTCAAACAGATAGCAAAAAAACGGAAGGGCCCTGTTTGGGTGTGCATTAATTCCAAACTAGTTTATTTCTGTTTGAAAACGGGAAGGACCCTGTTTGGATGTACAAAAAATCCAAATCAGTTTAATTTGAATTCTGAATTTTATTTTACCAAAAATAAAATTAAATTCAAATGTTTTTGGCCCAAAAAAATTAGTATTGGGCTGAACAAGCCCAATCCAACCACACACCACGCACCCGCGCCCAAGCCCAGGCCAGGCCAGGCCCGCCCGACTTGACAGCGCGCGTGGTGATTTTTTGTCCAATGGGTCTAGCCCATTTTGCCTATAACCTCTCCCTCTAAAACACTTGGGTACCCCTTGGGGCACACCCCAAGTATCTCACCCTAAGCCTTATAAACCCTTTCAAAACCTCTCACCAAATCAATGTGGGACAAGCCAATTTACAACCTTAAGGAATTTCCACCAAAACTCCATTTTCATGGAGCACACTTTGGCTTCAATTTCCCATTCACTCGGTAATGGTTTTGAGCAATCAATTATACCACGTGAATCACAACGCGGCATAGAACGCGTTACCACTTTGACCCGAGTAAATCGACGCTCGGGGCCCACCTAAAAAATAGACCAAACTTGAGAAAAAATTCTGGTTTTACCCAGAATTTTTCTACCATTTCCAACAAAAATTTATTTAAATATAAAAAAATAATATGAATGAAACAGTAAAAAAAATTTATGAAAAAATTGTCTACTTTTGGATAGAAAATTGGAAACTTATAAGGTAAAAGGAATTTATGAAAAAGTTAATCTAAATTTTAAAAAAATAGTTTAGTCATTAAAAGTTAATCTACATGTACATCAAATATCTAAAATATAAATTGTCATTAAGTTTAGTGACTAAAATATATATATATATATATATATTTTATTTTTAGTGAAGGAAAATAAGCAAACAATTTAGATTAAAAATAAAAATATAATTTTAAATTGACAAAATTTAAAAATTAAAATTTATTTTGTTATAAGAATTAAATTTTAAGTTTTGTTTTTTAAAAGAGTATAGAGGATGTATACCATACACACCTTATAACTAAAGAAAAAAATAATATAATTTCATATTTTTTGGGTCATAATTTTTTAAAAAAAAATCACAACAAAATATCACATGAAATATAACCAAATTTGTCATGAGTCATAACTAAATATTATTATGACTAAAAAAGAATATTAAGATACCATTAAAATTCTCATAAATTATAATTTAAGAAGAAAATAACATAATTAGTAGAATTTTGTTTTTTTCCTTCTTAATCTCAGACCATCTTTAATTCTTGATAAGATATTTCATCAAATAATGGTATTTTAACCATTTTATCAATTTGATATCAAATAAAGAAAGAGATATTTCTTTTATCAAATAAATAAAATATTTATCATTTTATCAAATTTATAGGTGAAGGTGGACATTCTCCCGGAGATGTTCTTATTTTTAAATTGAGATTTATTAAAAAATCATTTTTTGAATATTTGTATCTCAATTAATTTATAAGATATTTTTGTATTTTAATAAGCCTTATTATTTAAATATTTTATTTACCAAATCATAATTCTCATATTTTAAAGTATTTTATGGACATTTTTATTCTTACAAATATTTTTTGAACGGTTAGCAATTTAGTGATGTGAATATTCATATTTTACAATGTGAATGTTCACATTGATATTGTGAATATTCATACAATATGAATATTCACATTGACATGTTAATATTCATCTTGATGGTGTGAACATTTCAATTAACGATGTAAACATCCACCTCCACATTACGAAACATTCACACAATAAATATAAATATTATTAAGAATATTATGATAAATATGTCACTCATAAAATTTGTTAAAATATAAAAAAATAATATGAATGAAACGGTAAAAAGAATTTATGAAAAAGTATCTACTTCTGGATAGAAAATTGGAAACTTTATAAGGTAAAAGGAATTTATGAAAAAGTTAATCTAAATTTTTAGAAAATATTTTAGTCATTAAAGTTAATCTACATGTACATCGAATATCTAAAATATAAATTGTCATTAAGTTTAGTGACTAAAATATATATATAGATTTTTTCAATTTTAGTGAATGAAAATAAGCAAACAATTTAGATTAAAAATAAAAAATTATAATTTGAAATTGACAAAATTTTAAAATTAATATTTATTTTGTTAGAACAATTAAATTTTAAGTTTTGTTTTTTAAAAGAGTATAGAGGATGTGTACCATACACACCTTATAAATAAATAAGAAAAAGGAAAAATTACTGGTAAATCCCAAATTATGGAATGTTCTCCCATTTAGTCTTGTGTTTTTTCTTATGCACCATTTGGTCCTATTTTGATGATAAGGAATATTTTAAATTGGTAGGGTGTGGATGGAGATTACATCTTTACCCATTGTGGCAGATTTTGAGGGATTCTGTTAAATGATGTTTGGGTGTCAACGTGGAAGGCAAGTTTTAGCATTTCCATTTCATATTGATGTGAGCCGATTTTTGGGAATTCTATTAAATGATGTTTGTGTATCAATTTGGAAGGCAATTTTTTACATTTCCATTTGGTATTTGCTGATGTTGGGTTTACGTAAAGTGTGGAACCAATTGTGCGTTAATGGGAGGGTGTTGATGATGCGTTGATTTTCCGGCGCCGGTGTTACATTGAGCAACATTTCGTCCCTGTTTCATTCCGTGAAATGATAATAACATTATAACCTTAAACAATGCATAATAGTTTACCACAACTGATGTATGATGTTACAATCACTTACTCACATTAACATCAAACATATAGCAAACCAATCTGTAGCTAATTACCAATCACAACAAACTTCCCATTAACAAGCCCCCACCCAATACTTACCCTCAACCCTTTCTCACGTTGCACTCGAACACCAACATGCACATCAAAACAATAAAATTCCACACCACAAATTTTAAATACAACACATGATTTCTTCAACGCCCAACACACAACCACTATATGCTACACAACACCACACCCATCACACCCACATTCAACGTTTCTTATATTAATATATACACAAAATCAAACCATGTCAACATCGCATACTACCCCACCCAACCTCAACCAAACATCGCGTTGTTTTCATACATTACCCCCATATCAACATCATGCTGCATTCATACATTTACACTCCAACATATACGCAACAATACATGTTTACCCATACTACCAACATCGCCGCATACATCATTTACCCCAAAAACAAAAACAAAAACAAAAAAACCCAAAAACACACACAGACAAACGCATTCCGGTGAAAAATTTCCTTGTCAATCAAACGAACCCCATACCTGATGCTATTACAAAACAAATCCAACGTTGCCTTCCAAGCATTGATGAACTAGACTCGCCGGAAACTCGTCTCCAATGTCAATCAATTCGATTACACCAAAACACAATTCGTATTCCTAGAGTTTCAACGACCCAAATACCAAATTAGAAAAACATAATGACGAGTTAACATTACCAAGATTAGCAACATCACATAAAATCCATTTCCCTGCATTAATATTGGGAATATACTCTTTCCCATACTCATCTCTTCCGTGAAGATCATAGCAGTTGGAAAACTAAAATAGGCTACAATAAGGTTTTGGGGTACTAATGTAACTGAAGCATTGTTCAATCCCTAAATTACCCACATATTACACACTTCACGCTCTAACATCACGGTCAAATATGTACTTTTATATAAAACGGGACTTACTAGTCTTTAAGATAAAACACAGGACTAAGTGGTTCACAAATTCCTATTTTGGGATTTATTAGTGCATTACCCTAAGAAAAATAACATATTTTCATATTTTTCTGGGTCATAATTAAAAAAAAAATCACAACAAAATATCACATGAAATATAATCAAATATGTCACAAGTCATAACTAAAATATTATTATGACTAAAAAAGAAAATTAAGATATAATTAAAATTCTCATAAATTACAATTTAAGAAGAAAATAGCATAATTAGTAGAATTTTGTTTTTTTCCTTCTTTATCTCAGACCATCTTTAATTCTTGATAAGATATTTCATCAAATAATGGTATTTTAACCATTTCATCAATTTGATATCAAATAAAGAAAGAGATATTTCTTTTATCAAATAAATAAAATATTTATCATTTTATCAAATTTATAGATGACGGTGGACATTCTCCCGGAGATGTTCTTATTTTTAAAAGAGATTTATTAGAAAATCATCTTTTAAGTATTTGTATATCAATTAATCCATAAGATATTTTTGTATTTTAATAAGTCTTATTATTTGAATATTCTATCTACCAAATCATAATTATCATATTTAAAGTATTTTATAGATATTTCTATCATTACAAATATTTTTTGAACGGTTAGCAATTTAGTGATGTGAACATTCATATTTTATAATGTGAATGTTCACATTAACGTGTGAATGTTCACATTGATAGTGTGAATATTCATATAATATGAATATTTATATTGACATGTAAATATTCATCTTAATGGTGTAAACATTTAAATTAACAGTGTAAACATGCATGTTATGAAACATTCACACGATAAATATAAATATTATTAAGAATATTATGATAAACATGTCACTCATAAAATTTATTGATATATAAAAAAATAATATCAATGAAACGGTAAAATGAATTTATGAAAAAATGCCTACATTTGGATAGAAAATTGGAAACTTATAATTTATGAGAGAGTGTCTACTTTTGGATAGAAAATTGGAAACTTTATATGTATAACCGCCCGAGTCCACCGACTGGCCGAGATTATATATAACTCCAGGTCACCCCTCGCTCTCTCTCATCCCTCTCTTTCATCCTCCACATTTGTCCACTGAGAGCTTTCTCGTCTCGGTCGATCATCACTGTGTATATGTGTGATACATACTTCATATACATATCTATACACAGAGATACATAGTTATACATACACAGATATATACATTATTATATATATGATATGATATGATATGATATGATAATGAGAGGTCATGATCGGATAAATCCAATCTTGCCGGACGAGTTGATCCTCGAGATCTTCCGTCACCTCGGCTCGAAGCCCAGCCGCGACGCCTGTTCCGTCGTCTGCAAGCGGTGGCTCGACCTCGAGAGGCTCAGCCGCGACACCATCCGAGTCGGCGCCTCCAACAACCCTGACGCTCTTGTCAAGCTTCTGGCTCGCCGCTTCGTCAATGCCAAGAACGTTTACATCGACGAACGACTCTCGATTTCTCTCCCCGTTCAATTCGTAAGTCTCTTTTTTTTTTTGTTGGTTTTGAGTTTTGATTCAATTCGGAGTTGTTTTGGTTTTGAATTGTTTAAATTCGTCTTTAGATTATGTTATGCGAATTGGGGGTGCTTGATTTCGAGCTTTAAATCGAAATTTTTTGCGAAAATGGTTAGTAATTTCAGGTTTCAATTTCTGTCAAATTGGGGTATTAGGTTTATGTGATTCAGTTTAGGAAAGTTGCATATAGAAATTTTTGTAGATTTGGATATGGTCAAGGAATCAGCTGAATAATTTAAAATTCGTAGTCAGATGCAGATGACGAATCGAAAAGACTTGGAACTTTAGGTTTCCCCAATTTCAGCACAAGTTGGGAATTTGGAAGGAGTTGAAGCGGGGCGGGGGACAAAAAATCCATTCTTGATTCCTTTCCTCTGTCTGTGTGTTATTTTTATCTTTAGGGGAAGGGGGCAGATGCATATTGAATATGCCATAACCTTTGATCCCAAAGGAGGTATCATCTGTGTAGGCGGCCATGTGAACTGAGAAGCTGAAAGACAATGCCTATTAGTTCCTAACGAAGTCTGACTATTCTCCCAACCTAACATTCTTTAAAAAAAAGTTACTTACAAGCACTGATGCTGGAAGATAATGTGGAAATTCTATTATAGTGTTGGAAATTCGTTTCCTAGTTGAACAGAGTCCTTTTATCTTGGCAGATGATATAGTTTCGTCTTATGTTGTACTACCACATCTTGAGCAAGATGACTCGGATTTCAGACCATGCTGTCTGGTTTTATCATCTCAAAATATAATGTCAGACCATGCCTAAACAAAGACAAGATAGGTGTTCTGTCTCTTTGAGGCTGTCCACTTGAATTTTATTTCACTGGTTTGCTCTACCAAAAGGCTTTCCGTCTGTTGAATTACATGCTGCTGTGTCTTTCATCACTAAAACATCTTTAACATAGGCATGCCATTCTTCACCAAGTGCAGTTATTGCTCCATCTTTGTTGCATGTCTCTAGTGTTTATTTGTTTCTTGTGCTGACTGATGTTGTATCTATCTCTAGCATTAGCTTTTGTTGCTACACCATAACATTAACTCCACCAGCTCATTTGATGAGCACATTGTTTCTTAATTGTAAATACTAAACATTTTTCATCTAGACAGCATGACTGTCACCAAGTTATGCTGTGATTTCACCCTGCGAATCCCTCCACTCTTGCTTAGTTATATGGGCAGCAACTCTCCAGCCCCTTTTTTTTATAATAATTAAGTCTGGACAATGAACAATAATGTCTTATTGTTGGGAGAACTTAAAAAAAAAAAACAATGGTGCCAGTGCACTGGTTTATTGCAGGGAAAATGATTCAAGCGTTATGTGTGTATTTGATCCATTTTTTTTTTTGATTGGCAAGTTTCTTTGATCCATTGTTTATATGAACTTATTTCTCAGGGAAATGTGTATTCAATCTCTGTTTGATAACTATTTCACTGGATGTGTAAAATGTTTCCTCTTATGCAGGGAAGAAGACGTGGTGGTGATCCATCTGCACTTTCATCCCTAAATCTTAACTATGCAACTGAGAAAAGTGGGTCCGAAGATGTTGAAATGGACTCATACTGTTTATCAGATGCTGGTCTGACTGCCGTGGGTGAAGGATTTACAAAACTTGAGAAGCTGAGCCTTATCTGGTGCTCTAATGTGACGAGTGCAGGGTTAAAATCTATAGCTGAGAAGTGTAGTTCATTGAGATCTTTGGATTTGCAGGTGAACATCTAGTTATCAAACGTGAATTTTCTTGGTGTTGTCTGAGTTGTTGATTTGTACTTCTTGTTTCTTGAACCATCGTTAATATAATTGAGCACTACTCCAGATTATGGTGTGCGCATGATTAGTTCAACTCATTTAGAGCTGGTTGTGTAATACCATTGGGTCCTCAACGGACATGTAAGCTATTCTGCCTAAGTAGGTTACAGGATCAACTCTCTGTAGAGGGGGGACTCCTCTACCAGAGGGAAGAAGTGCTTTATTATCTCAATGATATATTTTAATGGAAGGACAATAACTTTACTGGCTTGGTCTCAGCTTCTCCTTGATGCCTTAGACCATCATAAATGAATGTTGTGTTGGTTGTAGAGGACTATGGGTATGTGTGGACTTTGCATGAATCTTGATTACATTTTCTAGATTGGCTTGTTGAGGGAAATCTTCATAGGTTAAGTGCTAGTCATTTACGAGACTTAAAGATTTCTAAACTTATGTTTTTTTTTTTGGGCACAATTATCCAGGTCATTAGACTGTTTTGAAACTAATGCTACCGAGATTGCTGTCTTTGTTGGTCCCTTAGATTGACTACAGCTTTGATACTGATTTCTTATCTGAAAGGTTGCCATTGCTCATACAGGGATTTCTTTGATACCGATTTTTTAATCAAAATATATTATTTATGAAAATGAATAGAAGTGGACGGACAAAGTGCATAGAAGGGGACTGCCTTTTCGTTTGAGAGGCCGAACAAGGCTGCAACTTCTCTTATGCTACTGTGTGTAGTCTGTGTGGGGGTTTGTTTTGATTATAATGGAGCTATTTTATTTACTTTGTAGGTTTATATTACTTCGTCAGAAGATACCAATTCATTTTTTTCTTACTTTTTCATTTTTTAATGTATATACTTCAGTTTCAAATTTTGGAATTGTATTTTACATATTTTGGCTTGTGGTTTAACTGACTGTAACCTTTTGTGACTTTTTTAGTGAACTACAAATTTGATAGTGTGGAAATTTCATGTGAACTGTGTCTCTCTGGAGATTGATTGATATCATTCCTAGGCATGGATTGAGATGTTACTGTTCCATCATTTCATGCAGTATTGATATCCAAGTTTATGTTGTGGACCTATGAAGCATGGACACTCCAAAATTGGTGCCGTAGTGGTGTCCGACACGGGAACATGCCAAGGACACGTACGGGACACGTTAGATGGCATGTCCCTTTAATTTAATGCTTTTTTTGTAGGGGACACGGCGGGGACATGCGTTCCATATCAGGACACGGCATGGGATATGGCGGGCACACATGTGTCCATATCGGGACACGGCATGGGACGTGGCGGGGCTCACTTCTTTTTTTTTCCTTCTTCTTCTTCTTCTTCTTCTTCTTCTTTTGCCTCTCTTATTTAGTGCTTTTGTGAAGAATATTGTTGGATGTTGAATGTTTTTCCCTTCTCGTCTTAGTTTTTGTTATCGTTTATTATGACTTTTTTGTGAATGGATGATCTATTAATTTGTTTAAATGTAGTGGTTATATTTATTGAATTAATGTTACTATATTAGTGTTAATTTTGATTTAGAATGAATGTAATATAAATCTACATGACACATAAAAATATATATAAAAAATAAATAAAAATTCGCCGTGTCCCCCGCCGTGTCCGTATCCCCATTTTTCGGAAATTGCCGTGTCTCGTGTCCCGTGTTCGTGTCCGTGCTTCATAGTCGTGGACTAATATGAATGTGTATGTAGATATGTTCATCAAAGTTTGTTTTGTTCCATTTAAGTTTTTACAGCTCATTGGACATTGTATCTTATTATTTATCGGCTTCCACTAGCCCCTATTATTGTATTACGGTTAAGTAGGCCTTTGGTAATCTCGGATTACTGGCCGGTCACATCTCTAATCCCTTGGGACAGGGGTTGGGTCGTGACATTGGGTTTGGGTTGGTTGCTGTCGATAAACTGTTTGCAATAATTCTGCTCCCGCTCTTTATACGTGTCAGGTTTTGATGCGTATTTTCTCAGTATTTAAGATACATCTTGGGAGGCCTTTCAAGGGGTTACTTTATTCTATTAATTTACTTTATAGTTCACAAAGCTATTTCATATATGATGCTTATATTTTTTTTCCCTGTTAGTCTGGTTTTCCAATTTCTCTTTAGATCCCTTTTTCTATCTAGTTTTGTGCGTCATATATTCACCAACTAAAGTCTAGAGTGTTCACAAAGTTTTTTTTTCAAGGGTTGCTATGTTGGAGACCATGGTCTAGCTGCTGTTGGGGATTGTTGTAAGCAAGTTGAAGATCTGAATTTGCGTTTTTGCGAAGGCCTGACAGATAGAGGGTTGATTGAGTTAACCATCGGTTGTGGGAAAACTCTAAAATCTCTTGGAGTTGCAGCTTGTGCAAAAATAACTGATGTTTCCTTGGAAGCAGTAGGATCTCATTGCAGATTTCTTGAGACGTTGTCATTGGACTCGGAGTTCATCAACAACAAAGGGGTCCTTGCTGTGGCAAAAGGATGTCGTCTTTTGAAAGTTCTGAAGTTACAATGCATCAATGTCACGGATGAGGCACTGGAAGCTGTTGGAATTTTCTGTTCATCATTGGAGTTGTTGGCTCTTTACAGTTTCCAGAGGTTTACTGACAAGTTAGTCATTCTTCCCCCATTTTTTTTTGGCAAGCCCTTATTAGTATTTTGACGTAATCTTGGAATAATCAATTTACTCTCTCTCTCTCTCTCTCTCTCTCACAGATTGTCTCTTTAGATTAGTTTGTCTTGAAATAAGCTCTGGAGCCCCTCCTCAAGTTGCATTTTCTGTTCCCTCCCCCCTCCCCGTTTTATGTTATGGCTTCTATGAAGACATTAAAGGCTTTGAGGAAGAATCTCGGTTTAACCACTTGCTTTAAGCATCTGCCTACTTCAAAAGCGTATGCTATGAGCATTTAAAAAAGGAAAAAGGAAGAGAGAAACATGAACTCTTTTCTCTCATTCATAAGTCTCTGTATATTGAGAAATTGACATCATCAACATCTTTTTTCTGGCTGTTGTTTTCAGTATGATTTTGCAAAGAGATGCAACATATAACCTAGGACATGCTTGAAATCATTTTCTTTCTGCTATATTGCAGAAAATATGAAATTTTGGCCTCTATACAATTTTCTAAAAGAAGGAAAAGAATTTCTTTTCAGCATGCTCATTTGGAAGTTTTCTGTTTGTGTATCCAGGGGTCTGAGTGCTATTGGAAAAGGGTGTAAGAAGCTAAAAAATCTTACTTTAAGTGATTGCTATTTCTTAAGTGACAACGGTTTGGAAGCAGTTGCAGCTGGTTGCTCTGAATTAACACATCTTGAAGTCAATGGGTGCCACAATATTGGCACAAGTGGACTAGAGTTCGTGGGAAGATCTTGCACGTACGGTTTGGTGTCATTAATTTATTTCTAAATTATTATTAATGTGTTGCAACCTGACACCTCATTGATGAATGGATATCTGCATTCAGATTAGCCTTGTTAACTAATGAGGGTATGAATCCTGCCGTGGATTATCTTGCATCCTGAACCATACATATCCTTCCTTAGATGCCATTCCTACTGCTACTCCCTAGAAATGGAGGGTGTGGGAGGGATAGTTTGAGTACTTGCCTAAAATTTGTGCATAATGGCTGCTCTTAGACTCGATTTGCATACTCATGGCATAACAGCTCAGGCTTCTACCACTGACAGGAAAAAATATTCATATAAAATGCATTTTTTTTCCCCTATTTTTTGACTTGCCATATTGCAAGTGTTAAGTCACGCTTTGTTTGGCTTTGGCTAATTATCACCACTCTTATATTATTCAAAATTTTCTGGCACTGTTCATCTGTTAATACTTCCCTCCTGATTTAATTATTGGTCTTGATCAAATACTGCAGACGCCTTTCAGAGTTAGCTTTGCTGTATTGCCAAAAGATAGGTAATTTTGCCCTTTCTGAGGTTGGCAGGGGCTGCAAACACTTGCAAGCTCTCCACTTGGTAGATTGCTCAAGTATTGGGGATGATGCCATATGCAGTGTGGCTGCAGGCTGCAAGAACTTGAAAAAACTTCACATTCGTCGATGTTACGAGGTATTTGTTTCACCTAATCATTTTCTGCTTGCATCACTTGCTTTAAAATTAAATCTTTGGTGATGAACACGATCTCATAGTTGTTTGGATTATATTTGGCATTCGTTTGCATGCTTCAAATTGTCTTCTTCTGGGAATACCTGATGTATGTTTTGGTTGTTCTGCACCCAAAATTTATATGCACACAAAATGTTACAATATGGTTTTGTTTTGGGATGATGGTGGAAATAACATTGTATTATGTAGTCATGTTCATATGCAGCACATCTGTGGTTGTATATAACTCCTGCGAATATTGTTCTTAGATGTTCAGAACTACTCCTTCCCCGTCTGCCAGTCGTTTATTTTTTGTGATACAATAGCTACCATGTTTCGCTTGTGAACTAAGAATATTTTAGCTAGTCTTTGGCTTTCTAGAGGGAAGTAGCATATCTTTGGAAACTGCTGTTAAATGACCTAGAACTTAATTTTTCTGTTAGTTAAAATCTGCAACTTCAATGACTTGCGCTTCTTCCTGTAAAGACATCACGCTTCAGTTATTAATTTAGCTTACTTTGTTGTGTCATTAATAGGTTGGGAATAAGGGAATCATAGCTGTTGGTGAGAATTGTAAATTCCTTACAGATCTTAGCCTTCGGTTTTGTGATCGGTAAGAACTTATCTTCCTTGTTGGTGAGAATTTTAAAATTCTTATTTGTGTTCTTTTTGTGGGGTCCAGGGTTCCTAGAAATAATATACACTTGTTTGTTCAGTGATTTCATTTTTGGGGGGTTAATGTTTGAGACTGAGGATATGTAATAGGTTATCTTAAGGCGCTGTCTTGTAAGCTGTCACTATCACTATAGTGCTTTCTTGGTTGTTGCATTATTGGACTCCCCGTGTGACTTCACATGCTATTTAATTACAGGGTAGGGGACGAGGCACTAATAGCTATTGGTCAAGGTTGTCCCATAGAACATTTAAATGTTAGTGGCTGCCACCAAATAGGGGACGCGGGAATAATAGCAATTGCTAGAGGCTGTCCTGAACTCATTTACCTGGATGTAAGCGTTCTTCAGGTATGTCTACTATTCGTTTCCCACGTACGAGGAGCAATGTCCATAGTTTCACTTGTTCTAGATGATTGGTTTTTAACATTGCTCTTTGTCCTACATGATTGGGTGGTTTTTACCATTGCTCTTATGATTTCTAAATCCTTGATTTTACTAAAAGAACCCCATTTTCCATTTTTTTCTCTATTTTTATTTTTATTGTTACAGAATCTAGGGGATATGGCAATGGCTGAGTTAGGTGAAGGCTGTCCCTTACTCAAGGACATAGTCCTATCACACTGCCGTCAGATAACAGATGTGGGTCTATCCCATCTTGTGAAGAAGTGCACCTTACTAGAGACCTGCCACATGGTTTATTGCCCTGGTATTTCTGCTGCTGGTGTTGCCACCGTGATTTCTAGCTGCGTGGGCATAAAGAAGGTCCTTGTTGAGAAGTGGAAGGTAAGCCAGAGGACTAAACGGAGAGCTGGCTCGGTCATCTCCTACCTTTGTGTTGACCTTTAGACCGCACATCACTTCAAAAAAGGTTTCCCTCACGAGTCCTCGACTTAGCGGGATCCAATTTGGAGCTCAATCTAGCACTTTTGTGGGGGATAAGCAAGCATGTTGGTTTTTGTTGAATCCCGTTCTCTGAATGTATCAGCTCTCTTTGTGTACAATTTTGTAATAAGGGGGGTGTTGATGTAGGAAGTAGTTTTGTCGGTTTGCATGAATGAAGTTGAGGCTTTACTGGTAACAATAATAATCTTGCAGCCTTTTTTGTTTGGATGATTTTATGATATGTTATGCCATGTACATTTTGTTCTTGAAAGTGCAGTGGTTTGGTTCTTGTAATAATTTGCTGTTTCGTGATTCGAAATTGGCACTAGTAAAGGGTTTTGATGAGTTTACCACCAAGTAAAAAAAAAAGGTTTTTGATAACTTGAGGTTTTTTGGGTCCAACTCTTTACGTTGCATCAGATTGAGTGTATTCGGGATTTACTGTGCTTGAAGTTTGCTCGGTTGGTGTAGTATGTTAAAAGCAGATGATATAAGGCGTTTGGTGTACTTATTAAAACAGTTTATAGATTATAAGTTAATAAATTATAAATTATGACTTTAATCAGAAGTTCTTAATCTGTTTGGTGTAGTTTTTGAATTATAGATTTAAGTTGCTGAATAGTGTTTGTTAAATAAGTTATAAAATAACATTTTTAATTAATTTTTATTTTTTGTTTGTTTACATTTCTCATAAAAATAATAATAATAATCTATAGTCTATTTGAGTTTTTTTCTATTTTTAAAAAAAATAAAAAATAGAAAAATTTAAGAGTATAATCATAAATTAACATGTTTACAGCAGAAATTAATAATTAGAAGCAAGGGGTGAGCAGTTTTTCAGAATCAGTTTTTTTAAATTAAAATAAGCTGTTAGAATCAGAAATTGTTTGAAATAAATTTAACCAAACAGTCCAAAATAATTTTTTCAAAACTAAAAGTTATAAGTAAGCTTTGAAAGGCTGAAACAAACATCCTATATACACAAACTAAACTCTTTCCATTAAAAAAAAAATGAAATTCATTTTTTTCCAACTTTTCAATAACTACTTTTATTTTTTATAAAATAAAATTAGAAAAATACTTTAGAGCTTGAAATTTTCGAGGCTCTAGTGGCTCGAATTTAAAATAACATCGTTTTGATTTTTTTTTTTTTGTTTGCTTCTCTCTCTTTTATTTGTGAAACAGAGGGAGGAAGAGAGAAAAGAAAGAGAAAAGAGGGAGGGGGATCAGAGAGACCCACCGGAGCCGCCATCATTGACGCTGCCATTGTCCACAGAGCTGTGTATACACAAATAGATCTGTGTGTATACACAGATTTGTATTGATCTGTGTATATATCTCTCTCTCTACGTTTTGTGTATTTCTCTCTTTAATTGGTTTTGATTTGTGAGTTTGATTTTTAGTTTTGATTTGAATCTCTCTGGATTTGATTTTTGGTTTTGATTTGTGGGTTTGATTTTTTTGTTTGATTTGTATTAGTTTTGATTTTTGATTTTTGAGTTTCTGTGCTCTAGAAAACCAAGAGATGTTGCTCTCTTTGATGCTTTTGCTCAAACAAGAGATTTTTTATTTGTATTGTTTTTCTGCTTTACCTGATGCTGTTGCTCTCTCTGTTCCATCTCTTTTCTCTCATCTTCTTTTCTTTCTTCTTCTTTTGCGAGTTATGGAAATGAAGAAGAAAAATAAGAAAGAAAGAAGAAAAAAAAAAAAAGAACCCAAAACCACGTTGTTTTGGAATTTCAGACCACTCGAATCTTTAATTTTTCGAGCTGTCTAGTGAGATTAATAAAATTATAAACATCTCATAAAATACACCAAACGAAAATATGTTACAAAAAAATAAAATATTTATAATAAATGGTAACTCATCATATCCAATTTTCCTATTTTAAAAAAACTCAATACAAATCATCTTCGGATATAAATGTGTTTAACATGTGTATAATATTTATATTGTAAATTAATGAGATTAAAATTGGTAAAATTTTAACAATATATAACTACGTATTATTGGATGAATTTCAAATTTAAATTTACGTAAATAATTATGTTTTTAAATTTTGCATTTGATGAATAACCCAAGAAAACTGTAAAATATGCTAATAATATTTTGTATACTTTATACTTTTTAACAAAAATAATGAGACTCAACCGATTATAAATTTATTTTTCTTAAATATGTATAATGATAAAATCATTTAACGATTAGAAAAATAAAGATCTCGACCCCGCTTCACTTGCGGTCTTTATATTTCATGATGAACCCAAGCAAAAATAAAAATAAAAATTCACGATAGACTCAATCCTAGTTTCCATATATAAAACACACAAAAATAACTCCTATTTACTAACTAGAGAGAGAGAGAGAGAGAGAGAGAGAGTTGCAGGAAGGACATGGCGGGTGGTTGTAGCATCAGAGCTCTCTGGATCCTCAACAATCTCGACTCTGTTGTCTTCTCCAGGTTCCATTCCTTCACACACACACACACATGTACACATATATATATTCTGTTGAAATCCTAGGGTTTTCATTGATCTGGATCTTTGTTTAGATTGAATTTGATTTTTGATATGTTTCTGTAACAGGAGGTTTCCGGTGGTGGAGAAGCGGTGGCGCGCAGCTTGCAAGACCGAGAACGAGAAAAGTGCTGATAGTTTGAAGTACGCTGTGCTGCCATTGCTTCCTACTGATTCGGAGCTTGCTGTTGCTTTCGTCGACCGCAAAAAGAGGTCATTTCTGAGAATAAGATTATGCTGATTTGCCCCCTTTATATATATATATATATATATATTTTAATACGGAATTATGTTCGTACTACAATTAGATATTTGGATATATATGGATCTGTCTCGTTATCACTTGATTGTGCTTGGATTGTGAGCATTATGAGGTGCTGATGCTGGTAATTCAGCTGGAAAAAAAGAAAAAAAGAAAAAAAAAAGTATGTTGTTTTTCTTTATTCTGATTAGTTTTGGAGCTGATTGTTCTTGCATCTATGAGTGTTCTTGCATCTGAGTGTAAAATATTGAATCTTGTATTCTTAAAAATGATTTATTCCTTTGGGAGTTAATGTGATAACTTCAATTTTTTTGTTCTGAAGAACTCAAGAGCCTTTTATGGTTAATAAACTCCTAGGCTCGTTTGTCAACGTCACTTTTTAGTAATAGAGCTGTGGGATAGTGATTATAGATTATAACTTAACAGATTATAACTTACAGTTGTGAACATAAGCTAGTAAACTGTTTAATGTAGCTGTCGGATTATGGATTTAAGCAGCAGAGTAGTGTTTGGTAAATAAACTGGAAAATAGTTTTTTGCTTTGTAATTGTCATTTTTGCTCTTATGAATATAAAAATTGTAATTTTGTCATTTTTTGCACTTTAAATTTTGAAAAAGTTATTTTATTAATGGAAGGTAATATAATTAGTACCTAATTTGGTATATTTTTCTATTACTTCAATATTTTTTATTTTTTTTTTAATATAAAGTTCACAAGAGAACAAGAAAATGTTATTGCAATAAAAATACAATAAATTACTATTAAGGCAATAAAAATAAAACTTCTTAGATATTTAAAGAACTCCTAATTTCGTCTGCAAATTGACATACAAATATTATATCTCCTCACTTCCATTTCGTTGTCATCATCTACAACATAATTTTCATGGCGTGCTTGTTGAGATGAAGAACCTTCCTCTTCATTAGGCACATAATCCGTGAATCTATCATATGATAAATGAGTATGTGTTAATCTCACCTATTATTCATAAGGCCCGTGTATGGATCAATTTTAAAAAATTATTTATATTGATAAAATTTTAAACCTAAAATAATAGAGGAAGCACACCTCGAGCTTTCACCACTAAGCCAACATTTTGGGGTTGAAGGGTCCAACATGTTTGCATACATTGGATAAAAAATTTAAAAAATAATAAATATATATATATATATTTCGTTCACATTTTTTTTCTTCTCTTTTTAAAATTTTTATTCAAATTCATAATCAAAATACAACTTAAATACATGTGCTTGAAATGTTTATTTGTTGTGGTTCTATTTTCTTTATTTCTTTATTTTTCATATTTTCTAAATAAAAATACTAAAAGAATAAAATAATTTTTAAAAGATAACTTCTTAAGTATTCCATAAGCACTAAGTTATTTTTCAAAAAAATTAAAAACTATTTTGAAGAACAACTCGCCAAACAAAGTAGTGCTCTAAAAAATAAAAATAAAAATAAAAAACAAAAGACAAACACAACCCAACAAACATTACACAGTTTATCCTTAATTCTGTCCAATAATCTACTCGAAATAGGGCCAAAGTCATTTTCCCAAAAGAGTACCAAATGAAGATTACAAAACAAATGAAACAAAAGCAAGCATTAATCTACATTTGCATAAATGATCACTCAATTCCATCAGAGTCCTCGTCAAATAAAAACAGGTATGGAAATAAAGGTGCATTTCCACTAACTGCTCCTTCCTCATTGATAATCCCAGAAACTTTCCAACCCAAATGCTGCATGTAAACTTTGTCATAGGCTTCAATATTCAAACCCGAAACTGGGAACAGCTCAACCTCATTTACAAACCGATTGGTTCTTCCAATTAAGAAAGGTGTTGCAGCTTGAGAAACCAAGGCCTTGAAATGTTCTTGTTTTGAATGAGTCAATTACACCAAGTATGTGATGAACCATAATTTCAATATCTTCCTCTTGCATATGAAGAAAAGATGGTAATTACAAAGTTGTTTGAAGCAACATTCAACTCATATGATTGTCAAAATCAAAACCAGATAACAAAATTTTGGACATTGATGTGAATGCGGCATGTAGTATATGATTGTGATGTTGGCCTGATAACAACCAGTTTAATTGCAAAGACAGTCAAACAAAAACAAAGAACCCCAACTTTACTCAGAGAAATAAAATTAAAGAAGCAAAATTTCTGGTAATTAACTTGGAATCAGAACAATCAACAACAAAATATTGAACTACCCACTTAGTTACTAAAAAAATTAAGACAATTGCAGTGCAAAATTGTCAAGATTTCCTTCAAATTCTTGCCAACCAAACAGAAATTAAACAAAATAGATTAATTAGATTAATTAGACAGCTCTTTTAGTATGGATATGGTACATCCAAGATGGACTTCAAACTCAGACCATTGTTTGACGATAATGTACAGAAAAGACAAGGCACAAGCACATGATTATAATAGAATGATTATTGAGTAATCACACAAAGGACATTAGCCAGTGTTGGTGGTAACATAAAATTGTTATTCAACCTAGCTTAACCATTTGGGGTATCTACTGACTTAGAATTTCCTCATCAAATGACAAAAACTTACAATTCTTTAAATAACAAAAACTTAGAATTTCCTCATTTGGATCATCGGCCAATATACACAAAGAATTGGAAGTCAATACAAATAAAGCTACAAATTATCACATGTTGTCTTGGTACTTCATCCATTATGGCTCATAACTTTCTCTGCCAACTACATCTAATACACAGACCTATGAACTTGTATCTTTGGATCATAAGCAGTAATGCAATTTAACATAAGCAGAAAAATTAAATTTTTAGATTTGAAGAAGAAATTAAATATCTTTCTCAATTTAGAAGAAATAAATCCTTCTTTTAAGATTATGAGCATATCACTTGAGAACACAATAATACAGCCCCTAAGGTTGTTCATAAAACTAGAAGAAAGCATATCAGTAACTGAAAGAATAGCCAATGATGACAATTCAAGTGCTTTCCTTTCCTGGACAACCAACTCATGAAAGATATTAATGAAGCAAACATCTTTAACAAAGCTCTACTAATAGCATGAGTTTAATCTTTCTCATTAACATAGCACATTCCAAAGACAGGTTTCAAGTAGACAAACCGGAAAGAGAAAAGGAATAGGAATACAACCTACAAAAGGGAAAAGGACGAATCTACCTCAAAGAAAAGTAAATAAAACTGACTAAACTAGTGTTTTTGTTTACCAAACACAGGTTTCATCTATTTATTCCTAGCAAACATGTTTGTGATCAATACGCATAAATGTGAAAAAATAGGAAATCAATTTCAATTAATGTTTTTTTTTGCTAAATGAAATCTTTAACTAAAACAAAAAATAAAAAATAAATAAAAAAAGGGGCCAAACTGAAAAGAAAAAAAAAGAAAAAAAAAAAACTACTAAGAAGAGGGCATCAAACCATTTCACAGTAATAAGAGAGAGAGAGAGAGAGAGAGAGAGAGAGAGAGAGAGTGAGGTAACAACTCGCACACCATTTCACAGAGCAACCAAAAAAAAATCCTAAATCGATGTGTATATATATATCTACATATAACATACAAAGGGCATGAAATCTTACCTTTTTTGTGCAGAACAATGGAAAACAAGGGGCCAAACTGCACAATCGGCTGCGATCTTGGAGATGTGGAGGAGTTCGTCGTCGGTCGCTAGAGGAGAGGAGAAGTAGAGAGGAGAGTAGTGTGAGAGGAGAGGAGATTAGGGCAACGGGAAAGAGGGTATATATCATGGCAGTTTTGTAATTTCCTCAATTTTGGAGGGGCATTTAAGTCATTTCAGCCCCCCCTTACCCGCTGCCCACATAAGTCGAATTTGGTTAAGCACCCCCCAAGCTACTTTGGAAAATAAGCTGAAAATAGCTTCACTTAAGCTATAAGTTGTATTGATAAGTTGTGCCAAACACTCTAAAATAGCTTAATATAAGTTAAAAGTTCAAATAAGTTGCTTATAAGCTGTGCCAAACAGGCACAACAACCTATACCAAAAAGTCAAAGATTTCATTTTCTCTCTATTTTTTGCATATCTTTTTGTAAAAAATCAAAAAGTCATCCCAAACATACTAATTTTTTTTACATTATATTTTAGCTAAAAAGCCAAAAAGTTACTAAAAAAACTTGTTCCCAAACGAGGCTTTCTCTACCAATATACATTTTGGATCACATTCAGAAACATGATTTATTTAGCGAAGTGATCCAAAAATTTCTTACTTGTTTTTTATGAGGAAAAAATTCAAATATGATGATGTAAAATCTAGAAAGATTGGAGTCTTGGCAAGAGAAGATCTAAATGGGGACCATAATGCTGTTCGGATAGTGATGTTAGTTGATTAATTTGAAGAATAAGAAAACCTAAAAGTAAGTAGATTTTAATAAATTTTGTTTTATTAAATGTCTAACTGTCTATAAAATGTAATTCTTACATTTAGAAGTGCTTAAGAATTCCAATGTTATAATCTATATAAGCCTGCCTCAATTGAAAGCCTTTTTTTTAGGTCGTGTAATAGGGAGGTGTGCCTTATACTAGGGCAAGTGGTATACCGTGTTCCTATTCTTGTTAGTTGTTTTGTGTACCATAATGCTAGAGTTGTTTTTGTCGTTCTTTATGCATGAGTCATGACACAAATTAGCAATCAATTACATACTTTTGTTAGTAATTACAATCTTGTTTTTTGTTAACCTCCAGGCCACAATTTGTAACCTATTTTACTATAAGCTGACAGGTTGAGTCCCTACTATTCAAATAACCTATTTTACTATAAGCTGACAGTTTGAGTCCCTACTATTCAATTTGTAACCTCTTTGTGCTCAAACTTGACTATTCAAATAACTGATACATCTGTGTGTGTGTGTGTGTGTGTGTGTCGTAGTATTAAGTTGGGTTCATCCTTTCAAAAGTTGCATTACATTTAACATAACTGCTATTGATGATAAAATGTATTATGTTTGCTTATTGTTCACAAGACTATATGATCTAATCATGATATTATAGTCATTGCCTTTTGTATTGGTTGGTTACAAGTCACTGTATGTTTTCATTATTTTCATTTGGTGTCCTTTATTTTCTTAGTTCATGATAATTCATCTTGATATAATTCTTCTGATGATTATACTTACTAATTTTGCAGTGTTTGCGTAGGGAAGGGTCTGCTCGTGGGTTTGGAATACGTGTAGCTCAGTCAGCTGAAGGGTCTGATTCGTGGGTTGATGATCCAGTTACACGCCATATTATAAGCCTATATATTAACAAAGAAGGGGAAGGAGAGAATCATCTCTTATGGCCATTAATTTTGCACATAAAAAGTCAGTATTGCATCCTTGCATTGCCTTTAGTTGAACCCTGTCATCTAAAAGCATATGCGAGAATATGTAAAAGATCTGATTGTGGAAATGCTGTTGGAGTGGATGGAAGTGTGTCTTCCCTTCTTCTTGATCTTCCATCCATCACAGGGTATGGTAAGTTACATGCAATATTATTCATGAAGCAGAACTAACAAGAACAAAACAATGCTCCTACGGTTTTGTCTGTCCTCTACTTGGTTCTGACTGGAATTTGAGATTCCATGGAATAGGGATCTAGGATGCTCCTACTGCTCTTGAACAAAACAATACTAAAGCAGCATAAGCAGATAAAATCTTCTTCCATACCCTCTTCCTTGGAATCTTTTCACGTGTTTCTGCATACCTGAAATAGTGGTTGTCTGGTTTTGTTTTGTATATTTGGTCAGATGTGGCTGTCAGAGTCTCTGGCATCTTTGGACTCTCTTTCTCTCTCTCTGGTTGGCTACTTTTTTCTTGAGTTATGCCACCTAAGTCTTCCAAATCTTCATTTGGATCGACAAATATTTGAATAAAGATATGTGGAGTATTCTGTCTATCTTGATTTATTACTGAACCTAGCTGGTTTAAAAGTGCTGTTTTCACTTGGGTTCAAAATTTTGCAAATGAAACTGTGACGACTATAGCATCCCAGGGCTCTTATTTCATTGTGTTTGTTGGCCGTCAAAAATTGGTTGTCAATGACTTAGGTTTTGCACACCTGACAAAATGGAACTGGTTAGTGTATGGTGCCACTTGTTTGAGTTGCCCTTCTTTAATTAATTCTGAAACTCCAGTTAAAAAAAATTGTTTCATTCTGTATGGGTGTTTCACTGTTTCTTTCATTAACTATGATTAATTGTCTGTGGTTTATGTCATTATTTATTTTTCTGTAGTTTTCAGATATACATTCTGATTAATTGAAGAACAGTCTGGTCATTTTTTATTTTGTTGTTACTTTTTATTTATTTTTTCTGGTTTTTTCTTCTATTTCTCTTTTGCATGGTCTGTAGCACTGTTGCTCTAATATTTGCTTACACAATCAATATGTCTTGTTTGATCTTTCCTGACGTATATCTTTTCCCATGTGTAGGGCCTTTATGGTGGCACATGCCATAGGGGATGTAGTTACTGGGGATGTTCCAGAACCTGAGGTGGTTGTTAGTGCTTCTCCATCCGTAGGGGGGTTGTTGGATTCCCTAACTGGCAGTATTGGGATTTCAGGTATTTCTGCAAGAGCAAAACCTGTAGCTGCACCAGTTGCACCTTCTACCACCTCAAACACTGCTGTGACCGGAGCCATTGCATCAGATGCTCCAAGGATTGGTTCAAGGCCCCTGGACAAAGATGCACTTCGAACTTTTATTAGTAGCTCAATGCCATTTGGTCGGTACTTTTTATTATGGTATTTCTCATCTCAAATTTCCTATATATTTTCTTATGTTGATCAGCTTATATTTATCTAATAACCACCTCTTATTCTTGTCTATTTTACATATAGGTACACCCTTGGATCTCAACTATTCCAATATTTCTGCTATTAAGCTTTATGGCTTTGCTTCATCAGATTTGCCCCCAGCAGAGAGAAAACAGCCTGCGTGGAAACCATATCTCTATAAGGGAAAGCAGAGAATTATTTTTACAATTCACGAGGCTGTTCATGCTGCAATGTATGACCGGGACGAGATCCCAGATACTATATCTATTTCTGGGCAAGTGAATTGTCGAGCAGAATTAGAAGGATTGCCTGATGTTTCTTTCCCCATGATTGGGTTGGACAATGCTCGCATTGAGGTATTATCATTTCATCCTTGTGCCCAAGTACCGGAACATGGAGTAGATAAGCAGGCCCTGATGTTTTCACCACCATTGGGTAATTTTGTTTTAATGCGTTATCAAGCACTTTGTGGCATTGGGCCTCCAATAAAAGGATTCTACCAGCTGTCAATGGTCTCAGAAAATGAAGGTGCATTTCTATTTAAGTTGCACCTGATGGAAGGTTATAAATCTCCTCTTACAATGGAGTTCTGCACTGTGACTATGCCATTTCCTAGGAGAAGGTTGGTTTCGTTTGATGGGACACCTTCTATTGGAACTGTTTCAACCACTGAGCATTCAGTTGAGTGGAAGATTGTAACAAGTGGAAGAGGTATTACTGGGAAGAGCATTGAGGCAACTTTTCCTGGAACAGTTAGGTTTGCACCATGGCAAACTCAAAGATTGATTTCCTCTGGGTCAGTCTTGGGAAGCGTAGTTGATGAGGATAGTGATATGGAAACAGAGGCCACTAATAATGTGGTAAATGTGGAGGACTTTTTAATGGAAAAAATGAACAAGGACCTCCCACCAGTTGACCTTGAGGAGCCATTTTGCTGGCAGGCTTACAATTATGCTAAAGTATGTCTACTCTCTATCAGTTCAACTTACTATAAATTCTGTAAGTCTTCGGTATTTGCTGATTTTGCTTCTTGCTTATATCCTGGTGTTATTTGTTATCTGGACTGGATGTGCTTTGCTATTGTTTCTTTAGTGTTAATGTGAACTATGGATGCTTGAAGTAGGCTTTAGATTCCACATGATGGCTGCAACAAAAAGGAAAGGGCTAATATATGGTCCTTCTGTTGACACTTTTTCGTTCCTCCATTAGTCAGCAAGATACTAACAGACATCTATAACTTTATTGCCATGGAAGAGATAATGTGTCGGTACATTTTCTACCCCTCTAATGACCACGAATCCCAACTTTTAATAAAGCAACTTTATAGAAAGGAAAAGAAAGGAAAAAAAGATTTTTCAGAGAAGATTTAACTTACAAATAGAAACCAATGAATTTGGAGTACATGGTTGTTAAAACTAGTCATGGTACTGCAGTTGAGCCTGTTATATTGAAGAATTAGCTTTTTGACAAAGTGCTGATATTTTGATTCATGAATGCAGGTATCTTTCAAGATCGTGGGGGCATCCTTATCTGGAATGTCCATTGATCCTAAATCTGTAAGTCCATACTTTTATGGCAGTCATTTATCTGCACTCTAAATATTTTCTCTAGATTTCAATCTAGTAGTTACTGTCTCTGTTATCAAGCTCTTTTGCTGCTATTATATGATTCTATTTAATGGCACATGTTGGTTCTTTAGCAGACAGTTTTCCATAACATAAGCTGCAAATCTGGCCTTTTGCATTCTCGAGATGAACTCCCATTAACATTTCCGTAGCTCTAATTGAACTGGACAGCTCTAATCTTAATTTTGTGATCACATCTAATACAGAATCATTTACTTTTCCTATAAAAAAGTTAGGACTCAACATCTGCTCGTATTTCTGGGTTGGTTGGTTCCCTGTATTGTATCAAATTTCAGCTTCAGTTTGCTGTGTGTTTTCATTTCATATTGGAACTGCTTAATTTATATTAGGCTTGCAAACTTTCTTAAGTTTGTGCTGTGTGCAGGTGAGCATTTTTCCTGCTGTTAAAGCACCTGTGGAGTTCTCAACTCAGGTAATCTTTATATTGACGTATAAAAACTCACTTTTGAAGATGACCTACAGAACTGTAGTTTTTTTCAGACAATGATTTAGCAGTTTGTTTGAATGTTGAAAAGATTTGACATGACAGCTTATAGAGGGTTTTGAATGTTCTTGGGTTCTAATATATAGTTATGTATGCATAAGCTTGAAAATGATCTTTAAAATGGTATACATAATGAATGTACGAATTGATATGGAAACACACTTTCTGAAAATTGAATGTAAAAGTTAAATAAATGTAGGACAAATAAGGAAACTTGGCATAATGTTGCATACTGTCATAAATTTAGTTCAGCGATTATGTGCCATGTGCACAAAATAGCTGGTTTCCATGAAGTAATATTAATGTTTCTGAGCCTCCTATTGGTTGTAGAAAATTAAATTGCAGTGTCACGTACAGTGTAAAAGCATATATATTTGAATGCAATCTTTACTTTTTGTTTCTTGCAACAGGTTACTTCTGGGGATTATATATTGTGGAACACATTAGGGCTATGCCCGTCTACTGCCACAGCAAAAGTATAAGGGGATGATGGATTGGGAAATCTTAAGAATGTGAAATGTTGTAATTTGTTTGGCAAAGATGTTTTGTCCTCAAAATATTCCTTAGTAGGGCTAGAGAGAACTGTGCTCGGGCCATCAGTTTAGGTTCACTCAATGCATGATTAGCCTCAAGTACTTGTCTTGCAGATGAAGTCTGACGTCTCGTGTTTTTTGAACAAGATTGCTGCAAGGCATGGGTGTTGATTACGATCGTGTAATTGTGAGAAAGCAATTACGGCAACATGAGGTTGAGCCACAGGCAAGCCATTCTCTCACTTTTTGTTTTATGTTTTTGTTGTTATTCAACGGTGTAGTTATCATTTTGTATGAGACAAGAAGGCTTCTGTGGTTAGGCTTCATTTTTATTTTATTATTTTTTTTTTTTGGATTAAAATTTGCTTGGATTCATTTTGGTTTTGGACAGTGTGAACTTGAGAAGAAAGCGAGAACACAAAAATTTCTTTTGTATGAATTGGGCCTTTTCTGTTGCTTGACTTGAAGCTCTATTTGGATATTTGAAATGAAGCAATTTGATGTTACTTACAGAAGGTTAACTATTGGAGGTAGTTTGAAAGTTAAATAAGTAGATGATTGAATTGAGAACTAAAAAACAAAAATCATTATGAAGGATTTCAAAGAATTATATTCACCAAAATTATTTAAAAATCTATCTCAAATTCATTATACCGAATTCACCATCATTGCTGATCTTACGATGACGTCTGCCAAACACACACAAATTTGACCATTGTGTAAGCACTTGTAACTATACAAATTGAACGGATTAGTGAAATAAAAGGCACGTTTATACTCCACTAGTCATACTTGTACATGAAAAAGTGCATCATTGTTTAGAGTGAGCTATACGGACGTGTTTACAGTTTGGGGCTTATATTATTTTGGTTCTTGATATTTTAGTTGTGATAGATTTGATCTTGAATTTTAAATTTCGTTCTAAATAAGGACAATTGAAGATATTGTCCTTCCATTTTAAGGGAAAAATTGTCATACAACTTATTTTGTGTGTGTTAGTTTATATGTTGTTTGAAATATAATGACTTTTTTTTTAATGAATAATGTTGAAACTTTTTTAGTTATAAAATTCTGTTTTGTTTGGTTTCAGAATCATTCTTCAGAAATTTTTTCTAGGAAACTAAAAATTAAATTGGTTTTAAAAATAAAAATAAAAATAAAAACACACCATTTTAATATAATTTTATTTTTTGGGAGGATAGAAATAATTTATTTTTATATTTTCATTAAATTAGTTATTATTTTTTCAAAAGTCAAACATGACGACAATTTTGATATAATTATTAAGCGAATTCATTAAATTCAAAAATTCAAAACTAAAAACATTTTATATATTAAACATATCAATTATATATTAAAAGTCTAATAACTATCTATTACATAATAACCATCAAAAAATATCTGTTAACAATAAATACAATCATCTATTACATAGCTAGCGGTAACCCGTGCGATGCACGGAAAAATAGACTATATATATTTTATGTGATAAATAAATCATCTTAATCTTAAATTATATCTTAATAGCGACAGCCATAATATTAAGCCATCTAGGTAGATGTTAACAATAATTAACTCACAAAATTTTTCAATAAAATTTGATATTCATAAGAAATTATTAATTATAAAAATTATTGAGAATAATAGTATCACAATCACTTAATAACATAAATAACTTATATTAAACTAAACAAAACATTAAAAGAGATAAATTCTATAAAAGTTATCATAAATTTACTTGGATTTTTAAATCAGTGGTGTATATTATTATTGTGGGATCAAATTATGAATAAATGTCAACTTTTAATTATAATTTATAAGTAGTTTTTAAAAAATTTTAATCTAAGTTTGTTGCCTTGTTTATAAAAAGAACTTCTCAAACAAATCATTAATTGATTATATTAGCAACTCTCTATCTTTGATTTCCTCTATCAATGACACACTCATATCATATCAAAGTATAAATCATTCTCCATAATTTGAATAATACTTGCATAGTTCCTACGTCATTTTAAAAAAATTAATCAAGATAAGAATGTCACAGTATTATAAAAATTATATAAGAGAATAGTTTTAAATCCATTTTATTTATAAAAAAAATGATAAAAAATTATTTGAATTGTACTTGAAAAAATATAAAAAATGATAACTTTAATCATCAATATACAAAAAAAAAAAAAAAAATTATATCGGTTACTCAACGAAAAAATGGTTAAATACAAATAGAGTCATGAACATTGAATTAAATCATATGAGCTCTAAATTGATAGTATAATCTAGCAAATCAACTAATAATAACATAGAGATATTGACAAATATGTAGTACTTTCCTATCATCTTTGTATTATATTCATTAATTTCATATATTATATGAAAGTTTTATTTGTCTCGATCTTTCAATAAATAAGGATCAAGAAACAAATTTGATAAAAATTGATTCTAAACTTAATTATTGAAAAACAAAAATTTCAAAGAGAGAATTTAGAGATGAGATTGAAGAAATACTAACAAGAATGACAGCCTTATAAAAAAATTTAAAAATAAAAACAATAATAATGATCTAATGCAAATTATTTTTAATAACTAATAGAAAAAACTCAAATTATTACCTTTTATAAATATAGTGAAGAAAATTAATTTTGTGAGATTTTTTGCTACTTTCTCCCACGTAGTCTATTATTTCATTATTAATACTATTCTCATTCAGAGCGATAATTTTTTTATTTTATTTTATAACTTTTATCATTTGGTAGATAATAACGAATAATAAAAATTATCAAGAGAATTAAGAATTTAATAGGAGTAAGAAGTTATAGATAAGAGCATTTTATAAGATAAAAAATTTAAAATAAAAAAATATAATATGTGATAGGAGAAAAAAAAAAGTAAATCAAAATAAAGATTTAGATATATATGCTTTTGATAGATATATAGATTAACAAATCATATCTTTATCTAAATTTTATTATTTTAATTGTTTGAAAATCAATTACTTAATCTTTATCTTTATCTGTAGGCCATGAAATTAATCTTTTAAATTATTTATCAATTTTTATATGTTTATTGATCTATAAGTCATGAAATATATTTTTAAATAATTTTTAAAATTTTATCTTTATCTATAGGTCATGAAATAAATTTTCATAAATTATTTATAATTTTTATATGTTTATCTATGATGAAATTAATTAAAGTATGAAATGAGGGGGAGGGGGGAGGGAAGAGAGTACTTTTGTTTTTTTAAAAAAAAAAATTAATTATTTAATTTTTATTTATTTGTAAGCATGAATTAAATTTTTATAAGTTATTTATCAATTTTTTATTTGTTTATTTATGGGAAGAAATTTTAAATTATCTATAAGTTATGAAATTAATTTTTTAAAATTAATTGTTTAATTTTATCTTTATCTGTAGATTATAAAATTAATTTTCAGTTTTTATATGTTTATCTATATAGACGAATTTTGAAATTCAAATCTTTATCCATAAATAATGAAATTAATTTTAATTTAATTAATCAAACAATAAAAAATGAAGAAAAATAAAAAACAGAAAAGGAATCAAAGAAGGTTGCCACGTAGGAAAAGAGAGATTTTAAAATAATGAGAATTTATGAATAAATATTTATCTTATTTTATAATCTTTATCATTTGGTAGATAATAACGAATAATAAAAATTATCAAGAGAAGGTTAAGAATTTAATAGGAGATAAGAAGTTATAGATAAGAGCATTTCATAAGATAAAAATTTAAAATAAAAAAGATAATATGTAATAGGAGAAAAAAAATGAGTAAATCAAAATAAAGATTTAGATAAATATGTTTTGATAGGGAGCTTTTTGATAAATCCATTTTCTAAAAGTTTTATTCTATCCAATCCATATTCTTTTTGACTATTCCATTAGGTCCAATTTGAGATAAGAAGACCAAAATACCATTTTCATCTACTTATGTTCCATTTAGTTCACATTATTTTCTTATATTTCAATAAGTCGTATGGGTGACATAATTACCAAAACACCCCTAATGTGAATGTTCACACTGTCAATGTGAATGTTCATATCGTCATTGTGTAGGGGCCCGGCCCATGTCGATCCTCTTGGGTGCCCGGAAAAATTCGAGTCGGGCCGGCACCAGCCCACAGGCCAAAAAAATAGGCCCGACCCGGTCCGTTGATAATGTGAAATATTCAATTGACAAGTTAACATTCATATTGATAGGAGTATAAATTGGCCCGGGCCTGTGGGCGGCCCAAGCCAGCCCGCCGCCTGGGGCCGGCCCGTTCTAATGTGAATATTCACATTGACAAATTAACATTAATATGATAAGAGTGTAAAATTGCCCGTGACCCGTGGGTAGTCCGAAACCCGGGCTCGAGTCGGGCCCGACCCGTTGAACATGTGAATATTCACATTGACATGTTAACATTCACATTGATAGAAGTGTAAAATTAGCCCGCGGCTTGTGGCCGGCCCGAAACCCGCCTGCGGCTCGTGGTCTGCCTTGGGCGGGCCCGGCCCAACCTGTTGATAATGTGAATAATTCACATTGACATGTTAACATTCACATTGATAAGAGTATAAAATTAGTCGCGCCCCGTGGCTGCCCGAAACCAGCCCCACGGCCCGTGAGCGGCCCAGGGCGGGCCCGGTCTGCCTGTTGACAATGTGAATATTCACATTGACATGTAAAATTCACATTGATAACAGTGTAAAATTGACTCGCGTCCCATGGGCGGCCCGAAGCCCGTGGGTGGCCCGGGGCAGCCCGGCCCGGCCCGACCCATTGACAATGTGAATATTCACATTGACATATAAACATTCACATTATAGGAGTGTAAAATTGACCCGTGGCCCGTGGGTCGCCCGAAGCCGCCCGCAGCCCAGGGCGGCCCCGGCCCGGCCCGTTGACAATGTGAATATTCACATTGACAATATTAACATTAACATTGATAATAGTGCAAAATTGGCCCGTGACCCGTAGGCAGCCCGAAGCCCGGGCCCGGTCGTTGACAACGTGAATATTACCTTGACATGTTAGCATTCACATTGATAAGAGTGTAACATTAACCCGTGCCCAGTGGCTGCCCGAAACCCGCCTACGGCCCGTGGGTGACCGAGGCGAGCCGGCCTGGCCTGTTAACAATGTGAATATTCACATTGACATGTTAACATTCATATTGATAAGAGTGTAAAATTGACTCGCGTCCCCTGGGCTACCCGGTTTTGGGTCCGGGCCTACCCGGGGCCGCAGGCGAGCTTTGGGCACGGACAAATTTTACACTCCTATCAATGTTAATGTTAGCATTCATGTGAATATTCACATTGTCACGGGTCGGGCCAAGTCCGCCTCAGGCTGCGATCTGGCTTCGGTCGCCCACGAGCTGCGGGCTAATTTTACACCTCCTATCAATGTGAATATGTCAATGTGAATATTCACATTGCAACGGGCCGGCCCGCCTCGGCTCGAGGTCGGGTTTCAGGCTGCCCATGGTCGCAGGCCAATT